TAATAATAAATAATTAAAAATCTATTCATTGTCAGTATTATTTTATGTCACAATAATTTGGAGAAATATGTATGATTTAGAAATTTAATTTTTTTTTCAAAATGCAGGTAATTTATATACAGTCTTGTCGTAACATTCCTGAAAAGTGCCTTATTGAGTTACAAAAATAAAGAAAAATACGTTTTCTTTAATAACTGAAAAAAAGGAATTTATATACATTATAAATGATTATCACAAAATTTTGGCGGTTTTTCTCCATCATTTATTATATTTTCTGAACATCATTTTTACTGAGCGCTTTCTTGTTGAAAATATTTCTTCGTATTTCTCGATCTTTTCTCAATTGCACCCTGATTTCTGTGTCCCATTTTAGAAAAATTTACAAAAAATTACTAGGGGATCTAAAAGGCGAGCAGCACTTATTCAATGCATTAAAATACAGAAATAACCATTTGATTCTCCGTCATTAGCGCAACAGCCCCATGGTGGGTTAAGACCATCTGCCTACTGACAGATTTCGAGACAGAAGTTTTTCTTTTTTCGGGATGGGGTTTTCACAGCTACATTCTGAACCACTATTAACATCCGCGGAGCCTGATAGCCGAGTGACTAGCGCTTTGTACCACAGGTTTCGGGCTCGAGTTCTGGCTGTGGCATGGTTGTTTGTAGTGGTTCGGAATCCACTTTAAACCGTAGGTCCTGGTCTAATAAGACTACAGCGTTGGGCTAGCAACGCTACCCTGTAAAAAGATCTTCAGCGTCACGGAGCCAAGTTAGACTTCTACTTACGGGTGCTCCATCACAACAGAAGCTGCCCCCTTCCCCTCCTTCCACGACACTACATGGGTTCTTGGACTTGGTCTAGATATTGCTGTCTGTCAAGTGGCGTAAATTTGGTTTGTTGCTCTAGGGTCATTTTATGCACACCTTTAAGCTAATTAGGCCGGGACTTACAGTTTAATGTGGATTGCGAACCACTCACAGCTAGAATGTGAACATGAAGCCTATGGTACCGAAGGCCAGAGCGCTGGCCAATTGGCCATCAGACCGCTTTCCAAGTGGGATAAAAAACAACACAATAACATAAACATCCATGGCACAGCCGGGACTTGAGCACGATACCTATGGCACCGCGCGCTAGTCACTCAGCCATTAAGCCCGATCCATTTGATTAAAATATAAAATTTGTCACATTCAGATACGTATGATCCAAAGTTTCCCGGATTTTGATGGGGAAAAAAAGAGCAAAGAAAAAAGGATTTTTTTTTTCAATTTATGACGGATGGTAAATATGTTGACACGATGTTATATGGCACTTGCAGATAAAGCATAATCCATCACCATTCTGCTAGAGTCATCATTCTTTATTTCAAAACGCAATGTGTTGATGCATGTTACAACGTTTCGCAATTTCTATGTAAATTGACTTTATGAAACAATTTCCAAAATAAAAATAAATAAATAAGTTTTATTCAAAATAGATTATAATTTTTTTTTACTCTGTTTTTGTATATTTGGCCAATAGTTGAAAACAATAATTGATCAACAAATATTATATAATTTTTTCCATTTCTGCTTAGTCACTATTTGATTTTCCCAAGGTTATTTTTTTGAAGACATTTATTTTTAAATCCAGCAAGGTTAAACGAATAACGGATACGGTGATAGCGCTAAGACAGGACACGCCGTAAAGATTTTGCACTCTCATCGTGTCCTGTCTTGTGAAGGGGAATTCCCCGATTCTCAAATGCGGAAACGCTGCTGTACTGTACTACAGGGCGGCATTTCCCATTTAAACGCCGTTAGAGCGAATCAGAAAATCGTTTTATAGTACAGGAGGGGGCAGGAACTCGGTACTTACGTATTAACGGTACTTGGCGACAGACTTGGCGGTTTTTAAGTGTCGCCAAACTAACAGCTACAAATTTGGCGGTTTGATTTTAAATGAAGTGTTTCATATATATTTTATTATTTGGAACAAAAATTTTAAGTGTAGATTGGCGCCACTTAAAAGCCGCCAAATCTGTAGCGGCGGTTGGCGCGTGTGCTCTTCATTGGCGCAAATGTCGCCAAGGTACCGTTAATACGTAAGTACCGGGAACTCTTAATCCTTTTTACCCCCATGAATTCCTTTTTGCAAATAAATTGAACATTATGAATCCATTTGGAGAGTAGCCTTTTTTAAATGATTAAAAAAATAAGTCAGTTTTGAAAAAAAAAAAAAAAAAAAAAAAATTGTAAAAAATTAAAATCATGATGCATTTGTCACATAAGCGGTTTTTTTTCTATTATTAAATAATGAAATAAAATAGAAACACAAAATCGAATCGAGTCAATTTCGAATTTTATTTTGTAAAAATTTGCCATTTTGAATTTGTTTATCGAGAATACGAATATTTGACTAGACAGCACACATAACGATCGATTTCGATCAGATTTCAATTTTTTTTTTTTTTTTTTTTTGTTATGTCGTCATAATTTGATTAATGTAAAGGAAATTTGCGATTATTATTATTATTTATTTTATTTATTTTTTTTTTTTTAAAGTTGTAGGAAATGGAATTGGTTTCGTAACTTGTTTCACAAGACAAAAAAAAACATTTCTCTGAAAACACCAGAATTCCACAAAATTCAAATTAAATTACACGTTGATTCTGTCAATGATCAAGATATTTTACATTTATTGCATGCATCCATATAAATACGAGTAAGAGATTAAAGCATCAATGCATACGATTAAGGCTGGAGTAATTTTATTGACTTCTAATTAATTCTACATTGAATCAAAAGTCATTGAAAATAGTTCAATTTTTTCTTCCTACTCTATTCAAATCGGCGCTTCATCTGAACCAAGCTACGAATTCGCCAAGAATGCGCACACACTTGCTGAGAATCCCTGTTTTTGGAAAAACTTTTCTTAATTTTCAAATCGTATTAGAATGAAAATGTTATTGCTGAAATGTTTTGTTATGTAAAGGGGTTAATAAAACATTTTTTTTCATATGCATTAATTTAATACCCACATCGAAAAATAATATATATATAGAAGATATAGAAATGAATCAGAAAAAAAGGCTGTAACAAATGTTAAAATAATCCATTGGAAACATCCGTTGTAATTATTGCTTTCAGAAATGGGCAGTCTCGATCGCGATTGTAACAAAAAAGCTTGCAAAAATTTCCGCAATTTTTTCAAATAATCAGACTGGCTGGAGAGAGATTTTCGGTTTACAAGTAAGCATTTACAATAAGTAGTTTCCCCTAAAAAATCCAACCAGAAAACAATTTTCTCCCCTAATCGCCTGTTAATGGCTTTTATAAGATGGAACATAAAGTTCACCAATGTTCAAAAGGGGAAAAAAAATTTTAAAAATGTTACAAACTTTGTTTTTAGAAAGTAATTTAAATACTAAAGAACAAATGCTTTATGTATTTCAACTGTTATATAAAACAGCCAACTATTAAAGCAATGCTATATAAAAATTTTTTTTTTTTTTTTTTTTTTTTTTTTTTTTTTTTTTTTTTTTACGTAAAGTAATTTAATGTGTTTTTCGAAATACTTCACACCCAACTGTTTGAAAACCATCAATATAGATGAGTTGGTGAACCCGACACTCAGTGACAACGTGAGCCGCTGGTGAGCATTAGGGCGCCATCGACAACTGGTCCCTAATTGTCCCGAATTTAAACTTAATTTAAATTCTTTTATTTTATATTTTACTTTTATTTATTTTTAGTATTTTCAACTTTTTTGAGTACCATTTATTTAATTTTAGAAACTTTATCTTGTAATTTTTTATATACTAAGAATAAAGCAGACAATTAAAATTAAAATCAAAATCATATTTATGAATTAAGATGAGGAGGGTATTTCCCCCCTATTGGTACTCTGTAATCGGTACGCCAGTTGCGGATGGAACCTCCATCTGGCTGGTGGCTTTTTTGTAGGCACTGTTTCAAAACACGAGGAGACTCGAGGGCGTTTCTAATGTTCATCATCCTGCCCAACGTGTTTTCTCCCATACGATACTCAGATGCCGGGTAATTCCCCCTAAAAGCCTTCCCGGAAGGTTTACTGGCCTTCTTCGGTGATATGAAGCCAAGTCAAACTTTTCCCTACGGATGCGCCATCACAACAGAAGTCGCCCTTTTCCCTCCATCCATGAGTAGATTACTCATGGGATGACCGTCCCGCATTGTAGGACACTGAGGATTAGACACAACAACAAAATTGGTGAAATTTTAAAGCATAATAATTGTGCATATCCAGGATTAAACTTTAAGGCTTATTTAAAAGAAAATGAATTGAAATGTACCTCAATTTAAAGCTCTTTTCCATTAAATTCGCCGGCTGTAGTAATTCGTCTCTTGGCTTAATTTGCTTATTAAGCTCTTAATGAGCTCTTAAGCTTAAATTGCACTTAAGCTCAAATTTGCTGGCGCTTTATTTCACGACTTTCCGACAAAAATGAATGTCTCTTTAAAAATGAAATTCAATATATTTCATCCACTTTAGGCTCAAATAAAAATGTATAGTCAATTATTGATTTTAAAAAAAAATCAATAAAAGAATGGAGCCGAGCTTAAAAACTCACTAAAGATAAAAAAAAAATTATGTTCAAGGAGGAAAAAAAACAATAAATGAAATGATACAATAAACTGTTTGTCGCTTAGCAACGGAAATGACAAGATGAGGAGGAAAAAAAATGGAAAACGCTTTCAATAAAGAATGGAATATCATTATGGGTCTCTTTTCCTCGTAATTAAATGTGTTCGATCGACAATAACTACCTTCAAATTAATTTAAAACACTTTTTTTGGATATTATTCTTTCTGATGCAGTTTCTTTATGTTACGTTTTAGTAATAAAAGAAGATAAATTTTTGATTTTCTATTTTTAATGATTGTTTTGTAATGATTATTTTCACACACAACATTTACATAGTTACATCATTCTTACAAGAAGCAATGCTTGTATGCGTAATGATTTACACCGATCAGCAAGTGTAGTCAGAATGGCGGAGGCGCCAGATTTAAGTTCTGGTTCTCAAAAGAGAGCGTGGGTTTGAACCCCACTTCTGAACATTTCTTCTTTTTCTCTAATTTAAGCCAACTTCCTTTTGTGTATTTTTTTTTTTATTAATTTAGGTTTTAGAGGTTTAGCGGTTCTTAAAACCACATTGGAACTCCGTAACCGTGCTTGTTGCCAGTTATCAACAACTAGGCCTAAAACAACTAAAACAACTAAATACTAAGAATTTCCCTACACAACGAGAACAAAAAAAAAAAAAATTTTCAAAATTACAATCAAAGAAATTAAAAACTCAATTTGTTCACAAACATTCAACTGCGGATTTAAGAGAATGCGCTGAATATCATTCGAGAAATTTATCGGATGTATTCAATAGTGATAAATAACTCCATGTAATAACAAATATTAAATCGAATTGTGTTTTGTCAATGCTATGAACCGACAATACTAAGAACTAACAGCGAAACTTTTCTTTTTTTCAAAGGAAGAGAAAATGGCGTGATCGTTTTTTATACTATATTAAAAAACAATTAAATCCGTCCAACATAATTAAAACTTTAAAGAATCTTATTAGTGTTAAAACAATTATTTTTATAAGATTAGTAAATTTAGGGTATTCTTCCCCTTTTCTAGAAAACACTACAGATAAGGCAGAAAAATGCACAATGCATTTTAAAATCTATAGTGTGACAATAGTTAATCTATCTTATCTTAGACAATCTTACCTTATGAGTATAAAGAACAGACCTGAAAGTATCAAAATACTTCTCTAAATCAAACCTCCAAAAATTTGTGATTTGTGATCAATTTACATTTAATATTTCTAAAAAGTAAGTTAACAAAAATAATTTGTCACATCGTATTAGAACACAAAATTTGGAGCACAAATAAATCATTCATTCCAATAACAATCTATTTCAAAGGTTTTTAATTTTTGTTAAAGCCGCCACAGAGCAATATTGACCTAAATAATATCAATAAAGACACTTTTCTTTAAATTCTGTCCAAACACATAATATATCTTGTCACGAATAACTATTTAAATCATTTTTAATTATGTCTGTAGCATTATTTTACTACTATTACATAGAACTCTCGGATTCTAACGAAAAAACAAGTAATGTAAAAAAAAAAATTTTAAAGTCAATTTCTACTTTTTTTTCACTCTATTGCAGAAAGTCTTTAATAAATAATTTTCATTCATTTTTTTAAGTTAGAAAAAATGCTCTCTCTCTCTCTCATACACACTTTCCATCTCTCTCGATCATTTATTCACATGTTTCATTTTGCATTTTGCTCCCTTCTTGACTCAGACTAGAACCCAGAATAAAAAAAAGAATTTTTTTTTCCAGTGATCTACACGCTTCGCCACTGACGGTATTTATTCCTAAATTTAATTTTAATCATATTTAATTTAATTTAATTTCCAAATCCTGATAAATATCTTATATTAATTTAATTAATTAAATTTAATTACTGAATTAATATTTGAAAAAACTGTATTAACATCCAGTGCCATCCATTAAAAGTGGAGTGGATGAATAAAAGGTAATTTATGAACGATTGAAAATGTGAACAAGATATAAATAGGGAGAGTGTGAACTAATGGTAGGAATTGAAAAAAATTAGAATAAATACATATCATAGGTATAAATATGAAACTCATTATTCATTCATGGTTCTGGCAGATGAAATTCGAAGTTTTTAATTCTTTCCACGAAGCATTGTGGTCGAAATTCCTGTTTAATCGAATGATTCTTCGAACTGCTTTCGAAATAACACATATTCCATAGCATTCTTGGTATTGTGATCCAGATTTTGTAACCGATAATCTTAGATTAATGGTTATTTTTCGAATGATGATTCGCTTCGTCCTTTCAGACAGTTTTAACGACCTCCCTGTCCTTGGTTTACTGCTTATTATACGAAGCTTTTTACAACGTGCAATTATACGAAAAATGATTGAGTAACTTTAAATATTAGGAAAAGATTAGATTATTATAAAAGTTCAAATTAATAATTAATCATTTATACAATATTGGAAATATTCTAATTATATAAATACTGAATATTCTAAAACAGATTCACTCCATTTCACTTCAACCAAAAAGAGGTTCTAAAACACATGTCAGATATTTATGGAACCTGGTTTACTGAATTTCTTTATGGTGATAACCAACCACATAAAAATATTTTCTTTTTAGACGATTTAGTTTCAATTTTACAGAACATCACATTTTCACGAACTTATCGTTTTTTGACGTTCACTAAGTCTAATATACTTGCTATAACAACAATAAATAATTAAATAAAATAATAGAAGCACAGTTTTTGGCGAATTATTAAACTTAACAGAAACTGAGTTATTAATATGATGGAAATGTATAATGCCACCCTCCATACATTTTAAATAAACCTAAAGCTGTATCCTATATCCGCTAGCATTGCCAAGAAAAAAAAATGGAAGTTTTTTTTTTTTTTTTTTTTTTTCATTTCTTATACAGGTAATACGACTTTTATACATATTTTTTTGTGATTTTGAGCTTCTTCCAAAATATGAGATACTCTTTTTTAAAAAAAGTATTGCAGCTACATTACATAACCTAAAGCATACTTGTTTCTTTTCTTTTTTTTTTTTTTTTTTTTTTTCCAGCAAATGACATAAGCAGAAGTAGGAAAGGGAAGATATGCCAAAAGATGAGAATTCAAATAGTAGTTGCCGGCTTTTCATCTTTACCATAAATTTAAATGATTATATCTTTATCTGTGTGCTTATTTATCTTCAAAAGCGGAAAACTTATTAAAAAAAAAAATTTTAATTTAGCACTTTGTTACAAGCTCATATTTCTTTGTTAAAAATTACAAACTAAATTACGTAAACATAAATTTGATACTTAAGTTTTGAACTTTACAAATAAATTATTTTCGCTTGGGCTATATAATTCCTGAATGTATCATTTATTTTCCCACAGATTTCATACATTCTTTTGAGAAACAATAGATTCTTCCACATATTGTCAGTGGGCTATCGACAACAGCAAGCACATGGAAAATAGGTATATTGCAGTAATCTTCACGACTTGGCCAGTCGAATGATGGTGAAGGTCAATTAGGGTGAAGCAACTTTACAAGAACATTTCCTTCATCTGTATTCACAGGAGATACGAGCCCTAAATATCATAGTTGATGACATTTACATGCAATGCAACATCTAAGATGTGAATCAACTCTTCCTTCTAGCTAAATGAATAACTGCTCCACAAATTATATAACATTCTGAATTGCCATGGCTAGTAGCAAAAAAGACCAATGGGTTTTCAGCTGAAAATCTTTTTCCTGTAGGCTCATATTAAGGAAACTGTACATGATTTTATATTGTGTAGCACTCCCATCAGCAAAATAATGTATTTCAGTAATGTGCAAAATAGTTTGTTTCAGAAACCTCACAATTATTTCTTGGGTATTGTAAACCATATTTATATTATGTTTAAGATAATCAGATATGACACATTGAGATATATTAATCTTTTCTTCCTCAGCAATCTTATAGTGTAAAATCACAGGGTTAACAGTACATGATCCAAATGTAACCACGTCCTCTATAGTTAAATTAATTATTTTTCACCGATGTCCATCACAATAACAGCTTCATTTGATGGTAAACTTTCTTTTTAAATTTTTTAAGAATTATGATTGTGATTTAGCAATTAAGGAATGGGGAATGAATATTTCGATTTTATTTGCTAAATCATCAATAAAATCAACAGTTGAATTTTTTTATCAACCTATGTGTCCTATCTGTTAAGACCTATTGATAAAATTTGATTTTATCATTTTTATCATAGTCTGGAATGTAAATACGTAAGTAAATTTACTCTGGTAGTACACTGATTGCAGTAGCTAAGCATACATTTTGTCTTTACTTCTACACAAAACAAAAATTTCATAACATTGCATAACAGTTACATAATGGATGTCACTAGCGCCAGATAATAGTGGCAAAATACAAAACTTTCAGAAATCAAACTTCACATGAGAATATTTCTTTCTGAAAGTTCTGAAATTCAATTAAGCTACTGAGAGTCAATCGCTTTCTCATGTTCACACTTCTTATCTTCTGATACAACATCTTTCAAGCAATCGCATAATTCTGGACTATTCATCACTCTCATAAAAAAATTTGTCACTAAAACTGCGATTTCAGTTTTGTCTCACACTAAGATCTAGTTCAGCTGTAAATCCCTTTTCTTTAACAGTCATCTGAGCTTGACGAACAACATAATTAAACACACAAAATGTTTCCTGTACGTTTTTTCCCCGTGTCAGTGAAGCGGGAAGGGTTAATCGTTGGATTTGCTTTTTGTGTGAAGTATATTTTAATTCATTTTTTTTTTTTTTTTTTTTTTTTTTTTTTTTTTTTGAAATTTTTCTATGTTCTATAAGATGTATTTCTGTGCACAGCAAGAGCAGGAGATTTTAAAAGAGAACAACCGACTTTCATAAAAGAACGACTCAGCTTCTCTATCGTATATCTGAGTTATTATTTTGCAGGTAAATCAGAGCCATTAGAGGTTCAACGAGATTGTCATTTTCATAATTACAATCTGAATCATCTTTAAATAAAATAGTTCTGTAATGAGAACAGATTTTTTCGTCTTGTTTTCTCTTTAATATTCTTCATTTAACAGATATTTATAAAATTCTTAACAATAATCACATGTAAAAATTTGTTCACAGATTTCTTGGGTTTCCAAAAGGAATCTCATACTTTTCGAAGAAACTCAAAATTCTTCAAATATGCACTTCTGTTATGCAGACAAATGATCTTCCAAGTTTACAATAGATCCTATTTTGAAATTCAAAATATCTCTTGCCATCTTCAGACAGATATGCTACTTTTTCCTTACACATTTGTGACCACTAACCCTCGTGACATTCATTCCTCAAAAAGCAAAAGCAAAATAATATTAGAACATTCATAGAATATCTCATATTGGTTATAAAAGTTTCTTTTTTTTTTTTTACACAAGGAATTCTAATTGTATTTTTATTT